TCTCTGTGCTTAGAATCTATTTCATCTCTTTGAAAATACATTCTCTTCTCTGAAGGCAGTCCTTGCAATGTGATATCTTGTCTTCATGTGGAGGCTTTCTGAAGAGTGGTTGTCAGACTCTCACCAGCCTTTGAAAGTCTATCATATAGAAATCACTTTTAAAAGATCAGTTCCCATTCTTCTTCATTCCATTTCTAATCTCAGAGCTCAGAGAGCCCTCTCTTCTCTCTCCCATGAAAAATCCCCTGACCTAGGTGGTTTTAAACATCAGATAAGATGTAGAGGTTAGAGCAGTAACAATGTTGGCTAGTATTAGAAACAAGTTTTCAAGACAAGGATGAAGCCATAGAGACGCAAGAAAACAAATAACATGAGCCGGGGAAAATTATGAGAAATGACCAACAAACAGAAGTTTAGGGTGGTGTATATAGTGGAAAGATCATTGAACTTGAAGATAGAATGCAAGGCAAATGACAGTTCTGGTACTTTTAGGGATGGACAAGTCATTTCTCCTGTCTGGAGCACAAGTTCTTGGCCATCTCTATGAAATGAGGAGGACATGGCCTCCAAGGTACTTTAGTGTGGCCACAGAGAGCAAAACTAGGAGGAAATGGATGGTATTTGTAAAAGGGCAGATTTATGTAAGGAAAAAGCTTCCTCAGAAGGGGGGAAAAAACGTCCTTAAAGGCAGCTAGGTGGCCCAGTGGATAGAGTGTTGAACTTGGATTCAGGAAGATCTAGGTTCAAATTCAGCCTCAAGAGCTTATTAGCTGTGTGACCGATCAATTCACTTAACCTCTGTCTACCTCAGTTTCTTCATCTACCAAATGGGGATAATAATAGCACCTACCTCACAGGGTTACTGTGAGAATCAAATGAAACAATACTCTTAAAGGGCTGTGCAGATCTGAAAGTGCTAATTAAATGCTGGTTATTAACAATTAGAGTGATCCCAAAACAGAATGGCTTGCTTTAGAAGATAGTGAGATCCCCCTGACTAGATGTTTTCAAGCAAAGGAGGAATGACTACTTGTCAGGGATGTTGGTGAAGAGATCTCTAGTCAGATGTGGTTTGGATATTAATGGCCACTGAGCTACCTTCCAACTTGAACTTATTTTCCAATCCTAAAATCCTTACCATTCTAGAATCTCTCTCTCTTTTAGTAAGGTTAAGACCCAGGGTAAGATTTTATATAAGGTACACACAAATATTTTTCATGGGTCAGCATCAAGGAACAAGTAATGAGCAAGTAATGGCTTCCCCCAGGCTTATTTATGAGGAAAAAGAAATAACTGTCACTTTTATTTGCATAGCTATATCCAAAGAACTATAGGTCTCATTTATACTCAAGAAGTAAGTCAGAGATTATATGACACCTATTTGACAGATATAATAGCTAGCACTTAAATATTGCTTTAAGGTTTGCAAATCACTTCATAAATACTATCTTATTTAATCCTCACAACAACTCTGGGAGACAGGTTTTACCTATTGTCTCCATTTTACAGATAGGAAACAGAGGTTAAGTGACTTGCCCAGGGACACAGAGCTAGTAAGTGTCTGTGGCCAGATTTGAATTCAGGTCTTCCTGATTCCAGGTCCAGTGCTATGTACTTCACATAGCTAGTAAGTCTGTCTGAAGTCGAATTTGAACTCAAGTCTCCCTAACTCCAGGCTCAATGCTCTATCTACGGTATCATCTAATTGCTTCACAACTCTGGGAAAGAGTTGATATTATTATCCCCATTTTGCAAGTGAAGAAACTGAGGCAGAAAGAGGTTGTAACTTGCCCGAGGTCACACAGCAAGCAAGTGTCTGAGGCTGGATATGAATTCAGATCTTCCTGACCCCAGGCCCAGGGCCTTATATGCCTTGTCAACAGGTGGGAAAGTTGTGGGTAAAGATTGAAGTACTTTGTCCAAGGTAAAAAGACAGACCCCCTGACTCTGAGTGTGCTAGAGAAAGTTTGAATCAGAGAGCTGGTCGTTAAATTTTCAGTGTGAGCATTTACACCCTGGAAACTGGCAAATGCTGCAAATCCAGCCTTGAGTTATTATTTTGTTGATTGTCTAGACTTAAGAAAGTGATAGACAAAGTGTTAAGAATGAAGATTAAATTTAAAAGTGTGTCCCAGTGAAAAACACTTTGTTAAGCATTTCTGAGCATATCCTGGAAGCAAGGTCTCCTGAATGGCATTCTCTTTCCACTAGACTTACTTGCCTCATTCTTCCCAGAAGATGGCATTTCATTTCAACAAGCATTTATCAAGCACCTTCTAGATACAAGCCACTGTGCTTAAACTCTGGATACCCTGATTTCAAACCTTCAAAAAATCAATTGTGTCACTCAGATAGTGGGTAATGAACTTGGAAATGTTTGTCCATGAGGCATCTAATTTTACTTGGAGAGCTGATGAAAGATACTACCCACCTACCTTCCCCTCAGATTTAGCTCCAAAGGACCAAGATAAGAACAGCAAGAGAGCAAAAGGAGTAAAACCTGAAATAACTCAAAAGCTTTTAAGTGTCTGGCCCAAGCAGAAGGAGAAGTGCTCTGAGGCCTGGGACAGGCTATAGGGAACACAAAGAGGAGGCAGCTAAGGGGATCCCCCAAAGGGCGGGGAAAGCAAGAGTAAGTCTAACAGGCATAGGAGTGTGAGGAAAGGAGAAAATGTTTGGAGGGCCAGCAAAATCAATTTGATTTAGTTAATGGACTAAACAGGGGTCTGAGGCTAAACAGCACCAGTTTTGTAGCCAAAGAACCTGGATTCTAATCTCAGCTCTGTGATACCCCAGCAACTGTCACTTACCCTCTCCCTGAGCCTCAGTTTCTTCATCTGCCTCATTTGTAAAGTTAGATAGGATGACCTGAGGATCCTTCCAGCTCAAAATCCTGAGATACCTCAAATACTGTGTTGGGCCTTGGGCCCACATGGGATGTCACTGACCTAAGTGATTCCCTAAGGGGATCTGGAGAGTTATTCCTCTACATCTTTGCTGAGTCTTTGTATTTAATAATTGGGGATTTAAAAATTATCTGCCTCATTGATTCAACCTCTCTAGAGCATGACCTAGCATATATGCCTGACCTGAGACTGCTCAAAACTTGATTTTCATTCTTATATCCTCTGCCCAAAGCTCTGACTACAGGAATTCCCCAATACAAATATTGTATAGAGGGTATCTAGTTATTTAAGCTTTATTATGGAATTATCTTCAATTTTTCAAAACACTAATGTTTATTAACTGAATTATAATGGGTAATATAAATACCATGTATCAGGGCAGCTAGGTGACACAGTGGCTATTAACAAGGATGGGTCCTGGAGTCAGGCAGACCTGAGTTCAAATCCAACCTCAGACACTATCTAGTTGTGTACCCTGGGCAAGTCACTTAACCCTGATTTCTTCCCCCCAGTAAATTAATGAATGAATAAATAAGGATGATGAATCATTTTCCACAGAAGCGGGAGAGGCAGAAGGCAAAAAACAAATCATTATGAAAAGTGTCACTACTCCAAGAAGGGTAGGAATCATTCAATCCATCCATCATGTATTAAGCTCTTACACTGTTCTAGGCATTATACTAATCACAGGGGCCACCAAGACAGAAGGGGAGCAGCCCTTGCCCTTAAGGACTTTATGTTGACCCTAAGATAGTTTGGAGAGGGGTACTCTAGTAACAAAATCTTCATGGAAAAGATGGCATTTAAGCTGAGTTTGGAATCATTTTTCTGTGATCTCATTGCAGACGTGGCTGGGTGGTACAGCAGATAGAGTGCTGGGCCTGGAACATAGTAGGTGTTTAATATACTAGTTTCTTTCCTCCACTCTTGTACAGCAGGGCAGTTGTCTCCATTTGACTAGTGGAGCATCTACCCTCTAACACTTTCTTCTAAGCCCACTTACTCTTAACATCTATCCCATTCTCAGACATGGCTTCCTCAGAATCAGCCATTTGAGGGGCACTGTGTTGGGTCTTACCTTGAAAGCTCACAAGCCAAATCCCTTTCCTCCTTAAAAAGAAAAAAATCAAGAATAGGCAAAGGGGTGGACTTCAGAGTTTGAGGTCTTACTCTTGTTAGGTTGTGAGTAATGAAATATTACTGTGATTGTGACTCAGGCCTCCTATAAATGAAACTGTCTGATGGGGAAGATGACATCAGATACTAAGTAACTTTGGAGAACCATCCAGTAAAAGTTAAGTTCTTTGAAGGCAGGGTCAACATATTTATTCTCCTGCATCTATCTGTATCTTTTACTTAAGGGGCTTGATCAATGTTTGCTGAAATGCTGAATTGCAGTGAATCTCTTCAACTCCATGAGGGGCACCTTAACATTTTCTCAATATGGGAATGAACTACTTGATCTGTCTAGCAAGGGCCAAATGAGAAGATCATGGAATTCTTAGTTTAGACCCAAAAAAGAACTTTATAATGGTCATCTTCATTGTGCAGATGAGAAAGCTTAGGCCCAGAGATGACTCCAATTATCATTCCAGTTCTGCCACCTGTGGGCCCAAAGTCTCAGGAATAGCAAAGTCAGAATGAGAGCCCAGGTCCTTTCCAAAATTCATTCTCCTTTTTACCAGTCATGGCAGCAAGATGTGACAAAGATGTCCCAACTGCAAAAAATCTCTTTTCCAAAGGCCTAGAAAGGAAAGGTGGATCTTCTAAACATATCATCTATCTACAAACTAGTGTCATCCTAGCACCATTTTCATGAGGAAATAAAAAACAAAGTTGGACAGGTGTATCTGAATGCCAGCTTCCCTACAGAAGAGAGGACCTGGAATGAAGACCTTAGAAAATCCAAATAGGAAATTGAGATCAGAAAAACTTAAGAGAAGTTCCTTTGACTCAGTTTTCCTTAGGAAGATTTTTCAGAGGAAGGGAAGAGAGTGGAAGAGATTAAGCATTTATGTAACATTTACTATGTGCCAGGCACTAAGCTAAGTGTTTTACAAATACATCTCATTTGAAGAAAAGAGAAAGGCTCACCTTGCTCAACCTTCAGATTCACTGTGACTTTTTGGTCATTAAACCAACCAGAAATTTCCACCCGGCAGCAATATGTCCCAGCATCTGCCTCTGTCAGGTTCTCTATTGTCAAAGACACAATCCCTTGAGAAAGGTCCTCCTTTAAGTAGTATCGGCCAGAATGCTGAAAGGTCATCTTGTGTCCATCTGTCCAGATGATTTCGTTTGAGCACCCATTCAGAGGACACCATCCTCGACCCCAGCACATAGATGTGACACCCTGATGCACTGAATACATGCAGGGCAAAGTGGCAGATTGACCTACTACTCCTCTCACAGTCTGTGCAGACATAGAAGGACCTGCTAGTAAAGAGAAAAGGATGAAGGTTAGAAAACAGACAATTAGGAACCGTACTGCCTAGAACATTGAACTTGGAGTCAGAAACAGGAAGTCAAGCTCGTCTCAGACACTAGCTCTGTGTCCCTGGGCAAGTCACTTAAGCTATCTCAGCCTCCATGTCCTTCATCTTGTAAAATGAGGATAATAACAGCACCTACTTCACAGGACTGTGAGAATCAAATGAAGTAACTCATGTAAAGCATTTTGAAACACTAAAGAGCTACATAAATGCTAGCATTCTTTTTAAGTGGGAAGGTATAAGCATGATGGGAAATGAAGAAGAATAAGGTACTTTGTAGAGTGTGGAGAAAGGTCTAAGGATTTCAATGAGATTTCAATCTGTGATTTCAATTGTATGAGGAAGTCCCAATGAAAAAACTGCCTCTACCATGGTAGGTTAGCACCTTTGGTCTTAGAGAGTTACCTAGAGAGCAGAGGTATCAAACACAAGGGGCACCTCTTCTGCATTGCCACCCCACCACACTCTGGAGCTTAATGAAGCCAGATTAAAATACAATTGGGAAATATTTAATAAAATAAGTAAAAATGTAATGGAACACAGACAATGTTAACATGTGGTTTTCTAATTCAATATCTAGTCCACAAAGATCCTTATGTAAAGTCTTGTACATTTTTGTTCTTTTTTTGGAGGCAATCGGGGTTAAGTGACTTGCCCAGGGTCACATAGCTAGTAAGGGTCTTAGGCCAGATTTTAACTTGGGTCCTCCTGATTCCAGGGTGTGACTGTGCTATTCAGCTGCCCCTAGTACATTTTCAATTTAAGTTTGATATCACTGAGAAGTAACATAACATGACTTGCCCAGAGCCATACAACCAGTACATGTCAGAGGCAGGATTAGGTTTTCCTGACTCTGAGGCTGGCTCTCTATCCACTACACCAAGCTGCCTCTCACAAGAAAAAGATATAATAATAATAATAATGATAATAATAATAATAATAAAAATAATTTTATGTTTAGTCTTTTCAGTCATATCTGACTCTTCATGACGCCATATGGGATTTTCTTGGCAAAGATACTGGAGTAGTTTGTAATTTCCTTCTCTAGCTCATTTTACAGATGAGGAAACTGAGGCAAACAGGGTTAAGCGACTTGCCCAGGGTCACAGAGCTAGTAAGTGTCTGAGGCCAGATTTCAACTCAGGAAGACTCATCTTCCTGACTCTAGGCCCAGTGCTCTATGCCCTATGGTACCACCTTGCTGCCCTAATAACAATAACTCACATTTCTACGGCTGGACATTAGCTTAACAATTTCCAAAGAGCTTTCCTGTAGAATGTGAAGTCCTTGAGGACAGAGATGTTTTCATCTTCTTCTTTGTATCTCCAGTACCTAACAATGGTGCATAGTTTTCAAGTATTCATTTGAACTGATGTGAATAACCTCTGAACTAGTGGGTGAGAATATTATTTATCTCCATTTTACAGGAAGAAATTGAGGCTCAAAGAAATTAAGGGATTTACCAGAGGGTCACATAGTTAGTTAAGTATTCCAGGTGTGCTTCAAATCCAACCCCCAGGGCTTCATATGAAAATAATTTTTTTGTTATACATAATTTTAAAGTATATTTATTTTTTAAAGCATAATGTAGGAGCCCTGGGGTTCCACCATTTTCAAGTTGTAAAGATTATTAAAGTAAGGACAGAGATGTGGCCTGAAGCCATCAGAAATGAATCAGTAATTAAATTTAAAGGGTTTTTTTGCACAAACAAAACCAATACAACCAAGATTAGAAGGAAAGCAGAAAGGGGCAGCTAGGTGGTACAGTAGCTAGAGTACAGGCCCTGGAGTCAGAAGGACCTGAGTTCAAATCTGACCTCAGACATCTAATACTTACTAGTTATGTGACCCTGGGCAAGTCACTTAACTCCATTGCCTAGCCAAAAAAAGGAAAGCAGAAAGTTGGGGGGGCTGGGATTACATCAAGTGTCTCTGATAAAAGCCTTATTTCTCAAATATATAGAGAACTGAGTCAAATTTATAAGCATAAAGGTCATTCCCCAACTGATAAATAGTCAAAGGAAACAAACAGTTTTCAGATAAAGAAATCTAAATCTATCTATAGTCATATAAAAAAATGCTCTAAATCACTGTTGATTACAGAAATGCAAATTAAGACTACTCTGAGGTACCACCTTACACTTAGAAGATTGGCGTACATGACAGAAAAGGAAGATGATAAATGTTGAAGGGATGTGGGAAAATTAGGACACATGCATTGTTGGTGGAATTGTGAACTGATCCAAACATTCTGGGGAGCAGCTTCAAACTGTGCCCAAAGTGCTATAAATTTGTGCATACCCTTTGACACAGCAATATCACTACTAGGTCTGTAGCCCAAAGGAAATATTTGTACCAAAATATTTATAGTGGTTCTTTTTGTGGTGGCAAAGAATTAGAAATTGAGGGGATGCCCATCAATTGAGGAATAGCTGAACAAGTTGTGGTATATGATTGTAATGGAATACTACTGTGCTATAAGAAATGGCAAGCAAGATGATTTCAGAAAAACCTGGAAAGACTTACATGAACTGATGCAAAGTAAAGTGAATAGAACCAGGAAAACATCTTATATAGTAACAGCAATATTGTACTATGATCAAATGTGAATGACTTAGGTCTTCTCAGTAATACAATGATCTAAGACAATTCCAAAAGGTTCATGATGAAAAATGTTATCCAGCCCCAGAGAAAGAACTGATGAAGTCTGAATGCAGAGTGAAGCATACTATTTTTCATTTTATTTTTTTCTTTGTTTTTTTTTTCTTTTTTGGTCTCTGTTTTCTTCTACAACATGAGTAATCTGGAAATATGTTTTGCACAGTTGCACATGTATAACCTGTGTCAAATTGCTTGCTGTCTCAGGGAGGGGGGGAGGAAGGAAGGGAGGGAAAGAATTTGAAACTCAAAATTTTGGGAAACAAATGTTGAAAATTATTTTTGCAACATTTTGCAATATTGGGGAAAATGTTATTAAAAAATAAAAAGAAATCAATTAATAAAAAGGGCTGAATACACTATGTACCCAACGTCTGGTGCACAATCAATTCAATCAACTTCTATCTTTCTATTCTAATTCAACTTTCATCCCAAGTAACAAGAAACATACTCTCAGCTGAGAAGATAAAACAAAAACACATAAACAATTAGAGAAGAAAATGCTCGATAATAAAGGGCTAAATTGTATAGTGAAAAAGAACAGCCCCCTGGAATAAATGTCTGTTTATTTAATGTATTAATAGGGGGGAGGGGAGTCCACATTTCTATGGAATGTTCAGGTTTACCAAAAAAAACAAAAAAACATTTCTTGTGAAGTAGGGGGTGAAAGTATTCCCATTTTCCAGGTATGGAAATGAAGTTCGGTTAAACGGCTTGCCCCAGAGAACAGAGCTATTAAGTATCAAACTTTACAGGTTCCTCCAGGTTACAAGCTAGGCATCCAGGAGATAGACATCAATTCAAGCAGCTTCGAGGTAGGATGTGGTGGCTCACCAATTACGTTCAGTATGACGTCCCTCGGGCAATACCTTGACGAATGGCACTAGTTTTGAAGGCAGTGGATCTCAGTTCAAATCCCACCTCTGAGACTTATCACCACTGTGATCTCGGGTAAGTCATTTAACTACCCTGGTTCACAGTTTCCCCATCTGGAAAATGAGGACACTGCACCAGATGGACTCTGCGATCCCCTCTAGCTCTAAATCTATCACCCTTTGATCCTAACTAAAGAGCGATTTTCCTACTCCATTCACAGACGGCATTTGACCTCAGCTTGGCTCTTAGCTCTTAGCTGGTTGCCCCTCTCCGCCCCATTTCCCATGCCCTGTAATGTGAACGAGGCTTTGGATTTGCTAAATCAAACACCCGTTTCCTGTTCTTCTTCCACCGTCCATGAGCGTCCTCCTTGCAGATCAGAGGTTCCCAAACTGAGTTTCACATGCCCTTTATATGAGACTTGTCAAGGGAACAGAGAGGAATAGTTTTTAAATAACTATATTATCCTATTAAACTTTCTAAAAAGAATTACTCCCATTTATAACAACTTATCTTTCTTGATTTCATTAAATAGAAAACAAGAAGCAACCTGTAGGCTGAAAATGATGCGTAAGTATCTCTTTCAAAAACTTTAAGAAAAATGAGACTATCGGTTGATATGAAAGAGAATCAAATGCCTCATCAATTTACTTGACTGTATTCTAATAAACATTTAACAACTTTGTGATATTAATAATGTTAAGTACCAAATGAAGCTTTTTTTATGAAAAATTAATTAACCTTCATATTATATTTCTCATGTGCATATGCCTGGCAAACTAACATTTGTTTTCCTTTAATACTGAATGAGAGGTAGGAGATTTACTGAAATCTAAGAAATATGGGAACCAAACAAAGCCCCAAAGCCCTCCTATATGTAGATCATGCCACCCGCTCCTCACATACCTGCAAGAAGCACCGTCAGAATGCAGTTGAACAATACAGGAAGCCCCATGGCACCTTCTGGAAAAAAAGTCAGACAACAGACTGGTTGAGTTCCCCCGGGGAGAAGAGGTTTTTAGAAAGGTCTGAGTTTTCAGTTTTAACTTCCTCTTTCCCCTGGCTTGACAAGTCATATGAGACGTCAAACTTGAGAACCACAAATCCCCCAGGCACCAGCAAAGCCCATGGTGTCTACTGTCTAGTTGCTACCTCACCTCTGGGCAGTGGGATCTATTGCTTTCAGCATAATTGTAAAAGGAAACTTCACAAGTTCATTGCAATTAACCTAGAATACTCCAGTTCCCACCACCTAAGATCCAACCCAAGTTGCTATTTCTGACCCAGCAAAGATGTGGGAAAGGGAAAAGGACTGTATGGTGTAACTAAATTAAGGGAGTTCCAGAAAGAAATCTGTGTCTCCCAAATGCTCAAGAATGCCCTCCCTTGAGAACGTATGCCAAGACAGTTCCTCTTTTACAGCCATGGGTTGATATTTTGGAAATCTCTCCTCACCTTCTGATGCTCCACAAAGTTAATTTTATTCATTAGCCACAAAGTATACCCAAGAGCCTAGTCAAGTTATCTTGAAATGTATAACTGACATAAAAAAGACCTCCTATATACTAAAATATTCATTAGCAGCACTTTTTTGGCAGGATAACAAAGAACTAGAAACAAAATAGATACCTATAAACTGGGGGATGATTAAACACATTAAGAATATGAATAATGCAGAAGCATGACAAGACTTATCAAATGATACAGAGTCAGTAAAAGGCAGCATTAACCTCAATGGAGAGAAGACTGGATTTAGTGTCAGGAAAGTTCAAATGCACTTCTGACATTTACTACCTATGTGACTTTGGGCAAATCTCAACCCATCTGGACCTCAGTTCCCTTCTCTGTAAGATGAGAATGTTGGCCTAGATCTCTACCAAGTAAGTAGAAATAAGAAAGAGTGTACTCACAATAACTACATCAGTGTAAATGGGGAGGGGGAAGAAAGAAAGTAACAAAGAAACAAAGAAGAAAGAAAGAAAGAAAGAAAGAAAGAAAGAAAGAAAGAAAGAAAG